TTCAGGATTTTCTATATATTTCAAAAATTTTCTTAATTCATTCTCATTAGGTAATGCAGATATGCATGGCTCTAACTATACTTTAGTAATTTAAATTTTTGTGAATTATTCAGACCATTCTATTTGGCAGTTGAGGATTTTTCTTATGTTCTTTTTCTGGGTTACTATGTTTTCAGTGTTTATATTTTATAGTAATGCATTGACTTCTGTAGAATTTAAAATAAGAGAATAAAATTATTGAGGAACGGATGAACTTTTTAACCACCAAATTGGTGACTGTTACAGAAAAAAAAGAGTATGATTCCTATCTATCCCCATTTACTGCTATTGGATTTAATATCTAAATGCAAAAAAGGAAACATTAAAATTTTAGAATAAAATGGTTATATATTTTTAATGACCTTGGGCTAAGGAAGAGTTGCTTAAAAAACATGTGAAAAGCACAAACTCTAGTAGAAATGATTGATATATTTGACCACAGTACAATTACAATTTATACAAATTATTTTTAAAAACCATAGTTAAAATATATGACAAAACTGGAAGGAGTAATTTACAGCATAAATAACAAAAGATCAGGATCCAAAATACCTGAAGAGCTTAGATAAGTAATATACTTAAAAAGTCTGTAGAAAAATGTACAAAAGACTTAAATAGACAACTCAGAAAAGGATATTTGAACAATTAATAATGATCAATAAATGATTACAAGAGACTCAATCTCTTGTAGTCTCTGTCATCACAGAAACGAAAATTAAATTGTTTCACTTTTATCAGATGAACAAGAAGAAGTGAATAAATAAATATTAGCACTTAAAATACTAAGTAGATCTGCAGAAAAATACACAAATATCCAACTTTAGTTTTTGTAAAGTAGCTTGTACAACCATCACCCAGCTCAAGAATGCCTCATATATCTCTTCTACAGCACAATTCTCTTCCTTACATCTAGGTGTAACTACCACTTTGAATTTTTGCAGAGATGTGCTGATTGTCTAGGGGGATAAAAGCTTTGATTTTTCTAGTATTTGCTGATTTCCATAGAATAACTACTCCCATCATGGCAGATTTTCAGCTACCAACATGTCAACTGGCTCACCAAATTCCTGAAGATTTAACAGTGAGCTCTTGTACCTATGAACCTATTTCAGCAGGCAGGTGTCATTTCCTTCACTGTGGTTTTTCTTTTCTTTTCTTTTTTTAAAAACAAAAAACAAACAAGTTTACTACCTAGGTAAGCATCCTTAAATAATTTTGCCTTAGCCGCTTCTACAATATTGGTGTGTTATATAATGAAATTCTGTTCAAACTTTTTCTTCCTTTCCTATATAATGGAAGAGTTTAAGTAGCATTGAGATTATCTTCTCTTTAAAGATTTAATTAATTCCCCTAAGAAACTAGAAATCTAGATTTACTGATTTTATTTTTGCAGTGGGGGATGACGTCTCTCTGGGATGATCTGACAGCTCTATTTATTTCCTCCATGGAAATCAGACTGCTTAGATTTTTCCAAAACTGCCTTTCTGGTCAGGTTTGATAAATTATACTTTTCTTGAAAGTTATTTCATCCAAGTTTTCAGATTTATTTACATATTTTGAGGAAAATAGCTTTGTAATACATTATATTTTCAGTTTTCTAAGATTATTACACTCTTACCTTTTTCACTTTTGAATATTTGTTTTCTCCTTTTTTTCTTGATAGCTTTATAAGGATATTTTCTCTATCAGTTTTTTAAAAATTTTTGTTTGGAGCAGGTTTTAGGATTTATTTATTAGTTCCAGTGTTTTGTGTTTTGGGGCCCATTTATCTCTTCATGTAATTTTTTCTTAGTTTTTTTCTGCCTCTTCTTTTGAGTTCTTGAGCCAGATACTCATATAATGTTTTTGTTATTTCTTGCTAATTGATATAGGCAGTTAAGTCTATTTCTTTTTCTCTGAATACATTAATTTAACTGTGCACTTAAGAATGAAGCATAAGTAGCAAGAAGTGTACTACATTGTGATTCAAGACATACAGGTTTTCTCTGTATGTAGTAGTATTGTTTGAGTGTGTCTTAATCTTCCTACTTGGGTTCAGTGTCTCCAACTAGAAAATGAGGAAATATTTGATCTTAAAATTTCTATTCTGCTCTCTAATTTCATGATGTACACCCTCATACCCAGGTTGTGACTCTAAAAATTTGAATTGAATCTACAGCATGAACTCTAAAGTCTCAAACTTCTTTTTTTTCATAACCATATACTAGGAAGTCTAAGGACTATACTTCAATGTAATCAGAAAGACATGGCAGCTTTGTATGCCTTGGCTATAAGATGGGGCCTTGAGCCTTAAGCAGATTCAGGGTCTATATGGACATTCTTTCCTTGGTACATTCTGTCAGACTCAATCACCCGTTGAAAGTTATTATGTAAGGTTCATGAGGAAGCACATTCTCAGAGCTTTTGAAATTTTTGAAATAAACAAAGACATGATTGTTAGCAATGAAAAATCAAGCAGAGGGCAGCTTTTATTGAATAGATCAAGATGAAGCTACAACAAATATTGTGTCAGACTAAAACGGCAGAAAATAGATTTTCTAAGGTTTGGTAGTTTAGAGAAATACGTAATAATGAGAACATTATTAAACACTGACATTCTGCATTCAAACTTTCTTTAAAATTTTTTTAAATAAAATTTATTTAGAGCTAATTAAAAAATTGTTAGAAAATAAAAGCCACATTGTCACAGAATCTTTAACTCATCAATATTACATAAAATTCATGTGTGAAATTACTGTCCATATTTAAAAAATCTAAATGGCAATCAATCTGTTTTGTGAAAAGAGTTAATATCACTAAAGTGTAATACCTCAAGTTTTGAGTCTCTCTGTGTATGTATTTAAACATTAATATGAACCCAGTATATTTTACTTTTAGTTACTATGGAAAAATATCAGAAGGAGAATTAGGAGCAAAACAGAACAAATGTATCTCATTTACATTTCTTTACCTAAAGACATTTCAAGTCTTTCATTTTATAAAATGTTATTATGTAACAATGGTGATCATCGACTGCTCTGTATAACCCTATGCACTCCAAATAAATAGTTCTGAATAGTTTTTCTCTACATCTTGTAACATTTCTAACTATAGAAATGTAATCTTGTAGCCTTAAAAATGCATTGATTTTTAGATGCACATAAGGAGACCAGTATAAGAAACAATCTTGAAAAAAAAGGGCTAAACATATTTAATCTATTTTTTACTTGCCTCTGAAGAAAAGGGAAAGTTATATATTGCATGCTACATTTTGTTTAAAGATTTATGATACAGTATAATTTTCTTTTTCCTTTATAATAAATATTTAAAAGCCATATAATGCTAAACAGTTTACCTAAGTGCAAACTTATGTGAAAATATTAGGGCGATGGTTTAGAAGCAGAAAAGCATTTACTGTCACACAGTGTTTTGTGTTTTTCTTTATAAATTAGTGTAGAAGCACACAGCCAATGAAATTGTGAAATTTTGATACTTTGGAAATTCTGACCCGTTGCCAATTATATGCAAGATCTAATTGCTTCTTGAAGTGCCAGACTGGACTTAAAAAGTTAAATAATGTAACATAAACATGCTAGACATGGCATGGAAGACAATGTGTGTGCATCGATTTTGGATAGACTCAGCTTAAAATTTTGTATTTTTCACTTCAGATCGGTATAAAATTGCATAAGTGAATTGATCATTTGAGGCCCACTTTCTTCTTCTCTAAAATGAGAATGATAATAATGACATGCTAGAGTTGTTATAAGGTAATAATGAGGTAGTATGTCCATGAGGTGTATGGGAAGCATTTATAAATTAAATTTTCATTGCCCTTAAGTAATCATCTTTTATAATAACCTGCACTTTAAAATATGGAAATTAATGTAAAGCATAAAATGTGAACACACTCACAAACTATGGGAAAATATTCCCTGAAATGCATGGAAATAGAGTGGACTATCACCATAGAAACTGGAGTGAACAGCATAGAAGTGTTCCCTTTTCACCACATCCTCTCCAGCATCTGTTATTTTTTGAGTTATTGATGGTGAGCCATTTTGACTGGAGTTAGGTGGTATCTCAGTGTAGTTTTAATTTGCATCTCCTTGATGACTAATGAAGCTGAACATTTTTTCATGGATCTGTTGGCTGCTCATGTGTCTTCTTTTGAGAAGTATCTATTCATATCTTTTGCCCACTTAGTAATGGGACAGCTTTTTGTTTTTGTTTTTCCTGCATGTTTGAGTTCCTTGTAGATCCTTGATATTAGGCCTTTGTCAGACATGGAGTTGGCAAATATTTTCCCCAGTCTGTGGGCTGTCTCCCTGCTCTCTTGATGGTTTCTTACGTAGCCATTAAGAAGAACAAAATCATGGATTTCACAGCAATCTGGATGGAATTAGAGTTTATAATACTGAGTGGTCTTTCACAGAAACAAAGATCTGAGTACCACATGTTCTCAAGTGAACCTTAAACAACTACCACAATACCATAAGAAAAGGATTGACAGTAACAGGAAACTATGTGGGGGGGAAGGTGGGCAGGGAGTTGGGATTAACGGTAGCTCCATTTCTGCCTGGGGAAGGTGGGGCACACCTCATCAACAAGGGTACCCGCACAATCAATATTTGTATACTTAACCCTTAATTGTACCTCGCAATTTTTTTTTAAATCACATTATGGACTTCATAGATACAGTTGCACTGGTATCCCAAGGCTCTTACATCAGCAAATTTGGCCTACTGGCTGTATTGTTGTAATTTCTACAACTACCGTATTGTAGTAATAACAATAATAAAAGACAAATCACAAAAAAAAGAAAAAGAAATTGGAGTGAATCAAGAACACATTCAAAAGTCCACTACTGTGGTCAGCAGCACATCAAATACAAAGCTAGAGTCCTGGAGAAAGGAGGTGGTAGGTTTGTCTGTTTCCTATCATTAAGGAGATTTCTAATGATGCCATATATGTTGTTGCAGAGGCAAAGGCCCATTGAAAAACACATCTGATGTCATTAATGCTGCCAAGAAAATTGCTGAAGCAGGTTCTCGAATGGACAAATTAGCCCGCGCTGTGGCTGATCAGGTAATGCAAAAGGAAGAGTGGGCATGTGCTGAGTGGAATCATTAATTAGTACTTGGGTTCTGTAATTGGTTTTATGCACCCTATAAAATGCCTCGGAAGAATGAATCAGAGTGGAGCATCACTAACATTGTGCAAACTAGCCTTTGACTCTGCTGACACAGTTCGTGGTGAAAGTAGATTCAGCTCAGGAGAGATTTCTAAGGCTCATGACCAAAATTTCTTAAGAAAAGCCCTGCAACTTAGAAGACATTATCCCCCAAAGAGTCATGGATTTTTCCTAGTTGCCCCTATTTCAGAGACTCATATCTAATATTCTTTTTTGGTTTGTTTCATGGTGCTTATCACATTTTAAAAAAATTGTTTTATTGCTGGTTTTGCATGTTTTTCTATTGTCCCCACGAAATTTTAGGTTGCACATCTTAACTGACTGAATGAAAGAGGGAATATGAAAGGAAACAGCCTGCCTTGTAGACAAGGAACTACATTAGCAGATTTTTAGAGGTGAAAAGGGTGTCATAATTCCATGGCTTGTGTAAGAAGAGAGAGGCAAGGACTCCAACCTGTGTAGAATGTGAACAGGGCACGTGGAGATGTAAAGGCAGATAGGCAGGCAGGGGAATCTAGGGTAGCATCATGTTTCTGAATGTGCAATAAGAAAGCAGAACTCTACTTCTTGTTTTTAAAAATGGGTCTCACTTTAATGATGTTCCTCATAATTCATCCTAATTTGTGATGGTACATAAGTGAGATTAATTCACATGATCAAGAACTTTCAGATTTCAGCTTTATCTTAAATCAGATTCAAAGGCATCAAAGATAAATGAAATAAACTGAATGCATCTTATTCTCTTAAGCCAAACTAGCCTACACTTTAAAATAGTTCTCAATCTCACCTTGAATATTTGAGTCTATTTCCACCTTCTCATTTTATTTGGCTTGAACAGGAACTCTAAAATCCAGTTCTAAATGTCTTGTTATACTAATGTTCCATTTCTAGTAAGGATACATAAAGTAATAGACTTTCCCAGATAACTGATGATTAGCTTTTGAGCAACAGTAGTTCGCAGTTTGAACCATTTCAGATGGAATGTATCTTAAAATATAAAATAAATTTCTGAAAAAATATTGCATATGCTATTATTTACAAGAATATGATTTTGCTTAGTAGACTATAGTACAGTAATGCACTCTGAGTATACTGAAAACCACTGAATTGCTTTCTTCTTCATAGATGGTCCTGGTCTTCTATGACTTTTTGAGCCTTTATATCGCTTATTATAGTTTTCTTTCCTCATTCCTTAATATTACGTTGTCCCTCTAAACACTTGCTGCTTTCAAGTTGATACCAATTTTACTCATTTTGTAAAGGCTAAGAGAAGTTCCAGGTGATTAAACTATTAAGATTACACTTAAAATAAGAGACAACCAATTCTCATTTTAATTGTATTTACATACTAAGGGGAACCAAAAAGCCTCCAAATTTATTAAGAATTAAAAATTGTGTATTTATTTGTACATATTTAAACTTTAGTCACCTTCAGAGTACTCTCTGTTTGAGGCAGTACACCTGTTGAGACACGTTCCCATTGCTCAAAACAGTTTTTGAACTTGTCGATTTTGATGCCTTTTAGTGCTGCTGCCGTTCTTTTGTTTCACCTCTTCTATGTGGCAAAACATTTCCATTCGAAGACTTTTTTCAAGGAGAAACAAACAAACCAACAAAAATGTCGCTGGGGATGAGATCAGGTGAATAGAAAGGGTGGGCCATAGGGATTATGCTTTTTTTGGTCAAAAACTGCTGAACACTCAGCATGGTGTGGGCAGGTGCTTGTCATGGTGAAAGAACCAGTCATCTATTTGCCATAACTTAGGATGATTTTTTTCTGCAAATCATGATGCAATCTTCTCAAAACTTCCAGTTAAAAACTTTGGTTGACTGTTTGATTCAAGTAACAAATTCTGAGTATTTTACAAGGGACCTGCCCTCCAAAAGAAAATACAGTTTTGGGGGGGTTCCCCCTTGTATATGATAGCTAATCTAATTGATTGCTTTAACTTACTTTTGAATTTCTGAGAAACACTTGTTCATTGTGATAACTCATTAAGTATTACCATAATTTTTAGAGCCTCTCACAATTTGTGGAAGTTGAGGACCAAACCATTGCTACTAGTAATTTTAGAGCAAAATCAATATACAGGCTTCACAGCATACGCTGAGATTTTTCTGCAGAGTTCTAGTATTCCAGAAGGATCATATAAAAGAGGAGACAACAAACCTCCTCGAAAACACACATATAAAAAAAGAAATTACCACTCAGGAAAGAAGAACACATTATTTTTCTGCAGTCATTGAGAAGAGTTGAGATGTGTGGAGTGACTAGAAACTGGCCACCCATCAATTTGTTAGGAAAGACTTCTTTCTGGAAATGAAAATAAATAAATTTGAGTGGATTTTCCATTATACTTTGGATCTCAATGTCTAGAAGTATATCTTAATATATTTAGGATCCTCAAATTCAATAGTTTTGACTGTGAGTCTTGTTTTGATTTTATGTTTTTAGATCTTTATTTCCAACAATCAAGCTACATAAGGAATAGGCTGAAACATTTTTGATATGTGGAAAGCATAACACACACACACACACACACACACACACACACACACACACACACACACACACACCCACCCCAGGATTCTAGATTTATTTTGAGACTAAGTGACAGAGTATTTAATCTATTTAATGGTGACTTAAAATAAAGAGATGAAGCTTAAACCCAACCTTTTCTTTGTGGCATTGTTATATTGTCATTAGCTGTGAAATAACTTGCAATTTCTGTTAATATTTTTTCTGACTAGGACATTTTTTAAATCAAATTCTGTATCTAGTTCTGTGGTATAGGAGTTATTTTTCTTGATCTGTCGTGCCTTTTTATGTATTTTAATGACTTCAGTTTAAATAATAGAACAGAATGAGCATTACCAAGGAAAGGATTGGTTGCATTTATTTTGCCTAAAACTATTTTTATGAAGATTTGAGATATGCATGCAATATAAACTTTTTACGGACTATTGCATTTTTAATTACTGTTCCATTGAGATAGAACTCTCAGTTTAATTCGCTGCAAGGTATTTGTATCGAAAGTCTTCTCATCCCTCTGGGGAGATATCATTTTAAAGTTAATTCCTTTCAGTATATGGGTCTCTGGTGTAGGATAAATATTATAGTATTAAGTACTTGTAGGAAGCTAAAAACAGTCTCTGTGGAATTCTTTCTTGATAAATGCAGTTAGTGAAAAAAAATACCACAATGGAAAATGTTATATACAAAAAGACCCCTTTATTATTTATTCAATAAATGGTTACGTCAAACCACTAACTTTACAATTTTGAAACAAGAATTTCCTTTCTCGAGCTTGAGGGAAACTTAGCTCAGAGTCTTTCTCCCATATTCTAATTCTACATAAGTTTTGGCTGTAGGCACTTATTTCTTATAGTATTTCATCAAGGATCTGGTGCTTTTATGTCCTTTTTGTGGCAAATTGAGTCAGAATAATTAAATGGGCTGGAAGTAGGTCAAGCTGAACCTTTGATAGTAATGGTGACATACAGGTATTTCAATTACTCGGTAGCCTTTGGTATTGAAGTCTCAGAAATGTTTTAGCAAGTTGTGTAAATATTTATGGGAGTGATTAGCTAAGTTCAGTGTGTACTTGATTTGACACCTACCCAAGTTTAGTCACTGAAAGAATTCCAACTCTAGTCAGAGTTGACTCTGGTACATTGATTGAGGTTACTGTTGCGACTGTCATGAATTTATTTCAACTGGCTTCAAATTTATTTCATTGAATCTAATTTTCTTAACAGTGGTCATGAACCATTTCAGAGTCTCTCATTTAGAGGAAGTTTATTATGTTTCTAAAGTTTTGATAAATGTGAAAATCCAAAAGAGTAATAGACTTCTTTTTTTAAAAAGTGAATAATGCACCTCTCAGAACATCAAAGGAAACATTTTTTTTCCTGACTAATTGCATTGAAACTCTCCCCCATGCTATTTGCCACACAGAGTGATTTATTTTTCGCACCCATCGCTTTATTTCTCTGCATTAAAATAACGTTTCACAGAGTCAAAGTTGAAGAAAACTGTACAATGTTTCATTTCCTTAACAGTTTTGAAGACCACAGGTGAAAACACTCATAAATTTGCACAGAAGTCCCACTAGGACTTTCTGGAAGATCTTCAGTATTCTCTTTATAAAATCTTATCAAGCTGGAGCTAACCATTCGAGACAATTGGCTGAGGCCTTTCTAAAATGTCCCGTGAAAAAATTAAGTTAAATGAATGTAATTAAGGTATATAATGCCGAAACCTTTTCTTCCTGCAGCTTTTATATGGCAAATGTTCGAAACTGAAGAGAACTTACTAATTGAGATCATTCTTTTAATGTTTTATAGTGTCCTGATTCAGCATGTAAGCAGGATTTATTAGCCTACCTTCAACGGATTGCCTTGTATTGCCATCAGCTTAATATCTGCAGCAAGGTGAAGGCAGAGGTTCAGAATCTGGGAGGAGAGCTCATTGTGTCAGGGGTAAGCCGGGACTTGGGCACCACAATATAAAGTTCCCACTGTTGTAATTCCAAGGCAAGCATTCTTGGCAACAGTTCTGCTAAAAACACCAAACTACAGTGATTCATAGGGAGGTTTTTAAAAATAAACGTTATCACCATTATTCCAGACCTAACAATAACTCACAAAGAGCAATTTGATTTTTCCAATTACCCCGTGTTTATACTAGCCTTGTAAAATCTCCATTCTTCACAAGAAAACTAATTTCCTAGTCTGGAAACTCATTGCCAAGCTTTGGCTATTATAATTATTTGGGGCTTTTGTATATTTACTCATTGTGAGTCTACTTCCCTTTGTTAGTCCTAGTAATTTTCATTCTCTGTTCAGGAGCCAGCCTCTCTATGTGTGGATTGTGTTCACATGTTAGAGATGATGAAAACAATAGGAATTCATTCATCAGGTTCCAATGCATACTAGGTTATCAGTAACCTTTGAAAGCCAGAAGATGTTTGAATTTAATACAGGTTGATGTGCTGTTGCCAAAAACTAACATAGTTGTCAAACACTAACAATTATATATTCTTTGCTTAGTCACTCCAGTGTTTCCTTTCTCATGAAAATATAATAATCTAGTTCATTTTCATCAAATGCATAGAAATAAGTTCAATGAATATTGTAGAAGAATCACAATTTCTTGGCAAGATTTCCAAATGTATGTGTTGAGGTTCTTCACCTTGGCTTCTCTCCCCTTGGCCCCTTTCTCTCAACACAGGGTACCATTTGTTGTAAATTATTTGCAAGTCCAGAAGCGTGGCTCTGCCACCATAGTTCTTTTCCCAGTCAGCCATCATGCTGCCATTTTAAGGGTCGAATATCCAGGAACATTTATCAACGTGGTGAACACCTTGTGAAAATCATGCTGGTCACTGAGCTCAATCCTTCCCGAAGTCATTTTTGGAAATTTAGAAGTTTGACCAGTTGACAAAAATCATTTCTGAGCCCAAATGTTTTTAGTTCCTCTATTGTTTGACTTGCAGAAAATGTATCTGGGAAAAGAGCTGATCTGGCTTGCATAGAGACACCATCTGGAAAGCCTGTTCCATGCAGTCCCACCTAGAGTCCGAACAATTGGCTATTTTGTGCCTCTTCCCAAAGCACTCTTTGCATTTCCAAAACGATCCCGCTTCAACATTCTTCAATAACCAAGAGCAATCGTCTTGAACTATGTCCTTTCTGCCAAGCTGGTGATTACCAAGATTCTCTTGCCAAGACGTGATCAAAACATTGCATCTCCCTTGCTTTCTTTCTTATCTTCCGCCTTGATGGTAGAGTTTCCCATACCACTCAGCTTTCATGTCCATCTGTATTTAGCCCCTGTGGAACTGAGTGCTTTTTGTTCGGCTTGCCTTGTGTGCTTCCATTTGTTACTTTCCGAATCTTATTATTTACATGGATGCGCAAAGCATCTTTGCGGATCTCAGACTTCACAATCTCATCTGGGCAATTTTTACTGGCAGAGCGGCTCTGCATCATCCTCTCAGTACTCATTGTTTGTCACTGCTTCCAGAGCTTCATTTCCATTGTCTTTTCCTCATTTAGATGTAGTCCAAACCATCACTGGCTTTTATCACTTGCACTGTTGGCTTTTGCAGAGGTGTTTGAGATTGAGAACACCATCGAGAAGCCTGTTTCTTTCTTTGAGTCTTGTTGGCAAAGTCCATAAATCCTTGCATGGGAGAAGGCTTCTTTTAGAGGAATGTTGTACAACTTTGTAATGATTCTGAGTCAAATGCATTATAAAAGTTTGCTCTATATTGCTCAGTCATGGACCTGCTCGTGGCTTTCTCATAATTTTTTCCAAGCTTGATTGCTGTATGGTGCCACACCCACATCTGTAGTCTGCTGTCTTTGCCACTTCTGCCTCCATTTTATTTCTCATCCTCCTGTAGTGATGACCAATGGAGAAAAAAAAGATGTATATTTATAGTGCAAAATAGCCACAAATGACAGTCTTCAAAGTTCTGAAAGAGTCAAGAATGTGAGACCCCATACACACAAACTTGCAACGATTTTGCCAAGAAAGTTCCACTTATTTTGTCATACAGCATGAGAAAGCTGCTTTTTCAGGAGAAGCCATTGTAGTTTAATTTGCCATCAAAAAACAAATACTTGAAACTTCCTTCCTTTTTCCCTGTGTGTTTATACACATAGGATTCAAAGCTATGGCTTCTCTGAAATATATGAAAGCCCCCAGGAAAGTTATATTTGTAAGAAGTTACAATCTCTACCAAAACAGAAGATATTTGGACAGATTACTTTCATTTTGCCAAGAAAAAATGATTTGGATTTCAAAACGGAGAGCCGTGTTTTTAGTCTTATGCTGGCATGATGAACATATGTTAAGCAAAATGCACAATGATGTCCCGTGTCAGCGTGTTTATGTTTTGTGTGATTCTATGTTTACAAATTGAGAAAGGCCTCTCGTGTTGTGTCTGCTGTTGGCTTGAGAGGTAGGTGAGGAAAACTTAACAGGTCATGAAAGAGAAGAGGGCAGAACCTTTCCATGAGTCGTGACTGGGAACTAGATAAATAAAACCATCCAGGATGTGTGTCAGTGTATGCTCATTCATTCATCTGCTGTCTAGAAACACCATTATTTTTCTGGCTGCCAAGAAACTTTTAAAAATCATTGGCTTAAACCTTTCTCAGGAACCTAGGGGTGTCATTGTTATTAAATCTCAAAGTAGAAGATGAATTTGTGAGCCAATCCAGCACAACTAGTTACTAAGTAATGCAAAAGAAAGCAAAACATTTAGCTGTAGTGGAATGATAGAAAGGTTCACATGAAAGTAGAGGAAACTAAGTTTCAAATTTTTAATCAGTTAGAATATAAACTGGCTTTATTTTTTGCTTAGATTAGTGTGTTTACTTAAAGTCCTAAAGACTATTTACACGAAGAAAATAAAGAGAAGGAAGGAGAGAGGGTAAAAGGAAAGAAGCATGAAGGAAGAAGGTAAAGAGAAAAGACAAAAAAAGAGATTACCCATAAGCGTATCACAAATTAGTGCAGGTAATGTCCTTTAAATGTGACAGCATTATTATGGAATAAAGTTGAGCCAGATCTTTAAAACATTCTGTAAATACTATTTTGGATACAAATAAGTTCTAATGCCATAATATGAGAATTGCCTATTTGTTTAATTATCATATTTTGGACTAAATTTTATTCACTAGGTTTCGGAAGATTTAATGGGCGCTTTTAAAGTAAAAAATGAAAATGTACACATGGATCTGGGGAAATAAAATTCATTCCATGACCTTTGATATTTTTGACTTCCCAAAGATTTATACTTTGTGTATTATACTGATTAAGATTAGAAACGTTAATGTGGGATTTTATAGTTATGCATAATGAACATCAACCATTCTGATAAAACGAATAAGGCTCACCTAAACTTTTTTTAAAAGTTCAAATATAATAGAAACCCATTATCACAATACAGCCAAAACACAAGAGCAATAATCCTGCTAGAACAGCAATTTGCTGTTCAAGTCAGAGATAGAAAGACTCGGATATAACTTACAGCTGACTCCACACACAAAAAAATGGTACACATTTTAATGGATTTTATTACATATAAATGTTTGTATTTATATTAGCAAAATATTTGAACAGAGTTTGGAGGTGGGGAATGCTAGTTGCCTAAGTTCAGGCTGATGGAATGGAGGCATGACCTATTTCTGAGGGACTGAGAAGCTTACACTAATAGGCACTTGCCATGTGCATCTCTCCTGTCCAAATTCGAATCCCTCTCACATGAGTTTTGGAGAGAGGTTTGACAAGGTGAGCAAGTCTAATTGGTGACCCTGGATTTGAATTGGTAAGGAGAAAATTGGAGAATATGGGTCAATTACATCCATTCTTATTGCCTGTGTTTTATATTATTTTTTTAAAAGTGTACTCTAATTAAATTCAGCATGACTATTGATGGTTATAGATGAATACATTCCTAAAAATACTAGAAACTTATAATATTCAAATCGACCCTACCTGACACTGGCATATAATTAAAAACGCATACGTGTGCATGCACACACACACACACTCTCTCTCTCTCTCTCTCTCTCTCTCTCTCTCTCTCTCTCTCACTCTCTCTCACACACACTCACACACCCCAATGACACCTGATTTGACTTTTACTTTTATGCCCTCAATAAGCAGTGTAGACAAGTAGCTAAGAACTGAACTGAATGAATGGTTGATAGTTGTGAACTATCTATCTGATCGAATGTAATTTAGGGAAATAAAATATGGGATATATTTGTGCAATGATATATATATATATATGTATATATAGTTTGGTAAGATGAGAATTAAATTTTACTTGAACAGTTATATATTCCTTTTTTTTTTTAATGTCGGTATTTTGTAATAGGATAAAACAGCCATAAAAATCAAGCATTGCATCCAATTGTGCAGATCTGTATATTAAGCAAACCTTTCTGTGGAGTCTTTTTTATACTTTCTGATTCTGTCAATAGTCAATTTTTACTTATCTTCACTGATCAAAGTATAACAGTAATAGAAAAATCTAAATTGCTAGCTATGTCAGTTTGGGTTTGGAATGCATGTCTGTGCTTTGTTTGAACAAAAGAGTATGTGTTCAAGGAGGTTATGAACATTCAAAAAGATTTTATCCAGACCTGCCAGGTTTGAAGGACCTTTCCTGATGTAGCAAGTACCCAGATCTAGAGAAGAGGACAAAGCAAACTTCACATGACAAATCTGGATGTAGACATAACTGAGATACTCTGTGGCTGTAAGAAAACGAAATGGGTATTTATCATTTCCAGAATGGCAGGGGTTCTTAGCACACACTTTTCTGGTAAGATGGGTTGTTGCATGATTCTACCTTTTCCCAAAAGCCTACGTCCCCCAATCTGTTATGATATTAAAACTATAACCACTTACATTCGAAGTCTTGCATTAAAGCCAGTACATATGGTCATTGATTTTTGCA